GGAGGGGGGAGTCATTCCTGCCAGGGTAGGGAGTGGCGGCTGACCACATTGACAGGGCCTTTGAGCAGCCACATGCTTCTGCCATCCAGCAGGCCCATCAGGGGGCCGTGTGCATCCTGAGGCCCTGAGGGAGAGCTTTTCCCCGGGGGACCAGTGACACTCTCTCGTGGTCTGCCCCACTAGGGGCTTCTGCTTCATCCCTCACTGTCTTTCCTCCAGTAGCCCCTCCCTTCTCCCTTTTCCTAGTGATAAAATAAACGACACATTGTTTTTGAAAAACTAAAAACTCTGTATTTTTTTGGTGGGGTCAAAGACACTGGGGAGAAACTGGAGAAAGAACCTGAGAGAGGGGAGGAGAGAGGGAAAAGTTGAGGGGGGGGAGATGGAAACCTTGGAAGAGGGATCTGGAAGGGGGAAGAGGGGTGAAGAGAGACTCAGGGCTGAGGCTGGGATGGCGCCTGGCTCTGTTGATCCCACTGCCGTAGGTGCAGGGGCCTCGTCGTCCACGAGGATGGGGAAGATGTTGAGGGAGAAGTGGGAGTGGGAGTGGGAGAAGGAGCAACAGCAGGAGTGGGAGCAGGAGCAGGCATCACGCTCACTATGAGGGAGTGCACATCCATGCACAGGGAGAGGCCCTGCACCAGCCAGGTCTCATGTCGCAGCTGGATATCCTCTTAGAGCCTGCGGTCGATGGTCTGCTCCAGGGATTGGAAAGCTGCCAGATGCTGCCTCTGGAACTCATCCATGGGTCGGTGCCACCTGCGGATGCCTCGGGTCCAGGAGGCTGTCCCGGGTGGTGTTGACTGTCCCCCTTCTCGACGCTGGTCTGAATGTGGAGAATAGAGAGAGATGGTCAGTCATCCCAGGGGACACTGTGCCTGAAGCCTTGCCCTCATCTGTGAGCCGAGAGCAACAGTTCTCGGCTCAGATGAAGGCGATGTGCTTGGAGCAAGGCCGTGTGCACTCTGGCCAGTTGGCCCTTTCCTACAGGGGCTCAGATCTCCCCAGGTGGAGCCTCACTACCCCCACATCCTGGGAACAAGCAGACATGGGAAGGTGCCGGCCAGACCAGGAGCCTGTGGGCGGGAGGGGGTCACAGGGCGACTGGGCTTCCTTCTGTGCTGCGCACGTGTCAGGTCCGACAGTGGTGGTGCCCCACAGGGAGAAGACTTGTATCCCTGCCCGCTGGGGGG